TTAAATTTTTTTTTTTTTTTTCTGATACAGTTATAACCATATTGCAGTCCCGTTACTTTTTATGCTACGTATTTGCTTTTTGCTTTGATTTAAAATAGCAGTACAAACGAAATTATCATATTGTTTCAAATAATTTGATTAAAATGCGAAAATTTTAATTAATGTTAATTCAAACAACAGTTAGTGAATAGATCGCTCTTTAAATTTTAAAACATATTTCTTTTGTAAAAATTGTTCTAAAGAAGAACGAAATCTCATTTAAGAATTTTGACGGAAGGAAATCTTACAAGTTTATCGAAGATTTGCTCGGATGTTCTGCCAAAATGATTGCGAATGCAAAAAAAATTGAAACAAAATCCCGAAACAAGGGGACGAAAAGAAGCCCTTTCGAGGAGACAGTTGAGGAAAACTGTGGCTTTGGCCAGAGAAAATCCATTTTATACCTAAAAAAAAATTAAAAAATGAGTTAAAATTTAGTTTAGCTGCTTCAACAATAAGAAAAAAGTTGATAATAGCTAAACTCTATGGCAGCACAAGAAAGGTGCCATTACTTAAGCCCCGATATGTGCAAGCCAAAGTTCAATTTGCGGAAGAGCACCTGCATTGGTCAGTCGAAAAATTGCGCAATATATTGTGGTCTGATGCAACAAAAATTGTTTTATTTGGTTCTCGAGGACGCCGACAGTATGTACGAAGGCCAGTAAACGCTTGCCGGACGGTTAAACATGGTGGTGCTGCACTTAATATGGTAAAGGTTCGTTATTTTGGATTCAAGAAAACCTGGATGCCAAATTGTACGTTAAAATAATGGAGTCGACTATGCTCACACGCGAATGGAAAATGCCGTTGAAATGGGTCTATCAAAGAGATAACGACCCCAAACATAATAGCAGGTTGACAAAAAATTGGTTTGCTCTAAATGGAGTTGAGGTTATGGGTTGGCCGGCTCAGTCACGGGGCCTTAATTCAATTGAGAATCTTTGGGCAAAGGTCAAAGAAGTTGTAGGGAAAAAGAATCCGTCAAACACGAAACAAATTATGGAGTGCTGTGAAGAAGGCGTGGAAGGCAATCCCTCTCGAGAAATGCAAGCGTTTGGTGGACTCCATGACTAGGAGATGCGCAACTGTGTTATCCAACAACGGTCATTCGACGAAATACTAATTTTTTAAACTTTTTTTCATATTATTATAATGAATTAATTGATTTTTGATGTAAAGTCCTCAATACTACTGCTATTATTAATCACAGCTGAAATCTTCATTTACAAACTTTTTAATTTATTTAAAGAAGAACTTTATATTATTCTTTAAAGAAGTCATATTTCTTTTGGACTTGAATTAAATACAATAATAATAACTCATAATAAAAATCAATTACACTTTTTTTTTGCTTCATTTGAATTCCTGGTTATGCCACTCCTATTATTACGAACACAGTTGTATATATACAATATATAAAGGAAAGTTGTGTTGAATGAATGAATGATAATGAGGTATGCACTGCGACCTTTGGTCTATTGTGCCCTCTCCTTCCTTACATTTTTACAGTTGTGTTAGTTACACCATTTATAACTCTAGAACGGCTAAATCGATTCGACTGAAATTTGGTGGGGAGGTAGCTTAGGACCAGGGTAAGGACATAGGATACTGTCTATCTCTTTACGTTAAAATTTAATACAACTTATAAATACAACAATTATATTTCAAATCATAATCATATGTTAATTCATGGCTGTAGGAATTAATTGAATATATGCGTACAATTTTAAACTTCTTCCTCAAAAATAATACTCTAATATTGCTAAGTATTTCGAATAGAACAAAAAACTGCCACCAAACTCGCAGTGAAATAGATTATAACGGACTCAGTAATCAGTCGTTGAGTATGTACTACACCAAGTGCATTTAAAATGGCTGATGTCATAATTTTTCCAGCCGCCCTTTTGCAGTCCACTATAATGACTGTCGATTCGACTCCAGGAGCTATGTTTCTATCACCGACGCAAGAATTCGGCTTTATTTCAATTAAAGAGCCTTAAACACTTCTCAAAATTAGGATTGTGAAATTACGAGGTACCTTCTTTGGTCATTTCGCCTGTTTTCAGCTTAGAAAATATCTTTTCAACGGTGGATTTCCCTGATGCAGAGCCCAAAATTCAACAGTATTTTCCCCAAAGAAGCAGTGCTTTATTAACACACGAAATGGCTTTATTATCCATTTTTTTGTAAACTGACACAAGCTGCTTGTATATACTAATAGTTATAATCCAACTAATAGAAATCATGTAGATGGTAGTATTAGTATTATCTATGTATCAGCGTGGACGGGTCCTCTAGTATATATATACACATAAATGATCAGGATGACAAGCTGAGTCGATTTAGAAGGCATTTCCTCAGCTTTGAACCTTTCATATTGAGGGACTATAAAATGAAGATTAGCCGTTCCCCACTTGTTTAACATAATGCTTGGCCCACACCTGGAAGTTCTTTCCTTACAAATTGCGAAAGTGTAAAATTTTGGGTTACACCCGAATTTAGCCTATCTTACTTGTTTATTTAAATAATTAATTTCAGGAAAGGCAAATGCACTATATAGGTAATATGAAGGATGGAGTCATGTGTGGAAGTTCACGCAAGTGAGGAAAGTTTTCTGATCGCCATTCACTTGGGAGTGGCCAGAAACGATTCTTTTACATATGACTCAAGCAGCTCACGACTTCCGGTCCTTGACCAAGTATCCTCTGGGTAGCCTAAGAACATCCGTTTGAAGGTGAGCTAAAGTGAGAAGGCGAAACATTCCCTGCATAGGATTGTGCGCTGGGTTTGGGACCCGCCACGTAAAAAAACCACCCCAATGACAACGCAACAACAGCCTCGGATGAGAGACCGCACTTTTGATGACGACCACGGCAAACGAAATAAGCACTACGAATTGAGGGCATGCACCTGGAATGTCCGGTCCCTTAATTAGGAAGSTGCCGCTGCCCAGCTGGTTGATGCCCTCGTAAAAATAAAGGCTGACGGGACAAGGACAGAGACAAGTAGATCCTTGTGGCATTTACTACAGTGGCCATATAAAGGAGCGCAATTTTGGTGTGGGATTCGTGGTAGGAGAGAGAGTCCGTCGCCGAGTACTATCATTCACCCCGGTGAATGAACGTCTAGCCACAATACGCATCAAAGCGAGGTTCTGCAACATATCGCTGATTTGCGCCCACGCCCCGACGGAAGAGAAGGACGATGTGACCAAAGATGCCTTTTATGAGTGCTTGAAAAGCACTTATGAGAGCTGCCCCCGCCACGATGTCAAAATCGTGCTTGGCGACTTTAACGCCAGGATGGGCAAAGAAGGTATCTTTGGCACTACGGTCGGTAAATTCAGCCTCCCCAAATGGGTTGAGGCTGATCGACTTCGCCGGGGCCCGTAATATGGTTATCTGTAGTAGTAGATTCCAGCATAAGAAGATACATCAAGCTACCTRGCTGTCTCCGGATCGAAAAACCACCAACCATATCGATCATGTTGTGATAGGCGGAAGACACGTCTCCAGTGTTTTAGATGTGCATGCGCTCTGAGGTCCTAACATCGACCGGACCACTATCTTATTGCAGCCAAGATTCGCACCCGCCTCTGTGCAGCAAAACACGCACGCCATCAAACACAAGGAAGGTTCGACGTCGAGCAGCTGCTGCCAGGAGAAGGCGAACCCGACTCCCCCACCCGATGACGATGCAGCAGACGTTCCATCGCCCGACCAGGATGAAGTTCGAATAGCAATTACCCGCCTGAAGAACAATAAAGAGGCGTGGGCCGATGGATTGCCGGCTGAGCTATTCAAACACGGCGGCGCAGAAATGATAAGGAGCATGCATCAGCTTCTTTGTAAAATATGGTCGAACGAAAGCATGCCCAACGATTGGAATTTAAGTGTGCTATGCCCAATTCACAAAACAGGAGACCCCACAATCTGCGCCAACTACCATGGGATAAACCTCGTCAACATTGCATATAAGGTTCCATCGAGCGAATTGTGTGAAAGATTAATACCCACCGTCTACAAATTGATTGGACCTTATCAGTGTGGCGTTAGACCTCATAAATCAACAACCGACTAGATATTCACCACGCGCCAAATCTTGGAAAAGACCAGTGAAAGGAGAATCGACATTCACCACCTCTTCGTCGATTTCAGAGCTGCTTTCGACAGCACAAA